GAACAAGTACAAACTACGGGAATTAATGACAGCTAACGAAAGCGATGCTTGTGATTATTTTTAAAAACACATATTTAGTATTTAATAAAATTTTAATAAGTACTAATAAAATTATCATCCTCTGAATTAAAATAGATGAAATAAAAATAAGTGTGTAAAGAATGTAATTTTTGTATTTTTTTCCGCGCAAAATTACCAAAATGATATCTTAATTTATTAAATTAAAAAAAATTACCTGTTCTACAAAACAATTAATGCAAGCTCACTTTTTAACTCTACACTCTAAAAAAAAAAATTAACTTGAACTGACACTTTTCTATGTTTAAATAAATTTTACTTGATTCAAAAATTTTTCGTCTTGATTTGATAAAAATCTTTAAGATTATTTTTTTTGTTCAATAATTTTTCTCGTAATATTTTGAATTATTGAAAATAAAAAAATTCTGCCGACACATCACAAATTAATTTTCTGAGTAAATTCGAACTAAATAGTCGTACTATTACAAAATTATACTCCTACTTTAAGCAGTTAAACTGGTAATATTCGGAATTCTATATATATTCGTCTAATTTTTTAATCAATAATGAAATAGTTCTTTGATAATTTGATAATTACAGTTATCAATTATTAATTAGTATGTTTTGTTTTTTATTATTGAATGAGTACCAATATTCTGATAAGAATATTGATCCATTTTCAAGAATATGAGCGAAAAAATGTTAATTTTTTTCAAATTAATAGTCTTGGTTTAAATTAATTATTTTTAACTTCCCGATAAGAAAAAAAAAGTTTTAAATCGCACTGGCTCATCAAAATACACTTTTTAACCGGGAGATTTTTTTAAACAACTTAATGTGTTTAATTAATGAAATAATTATTAAAGAATACAAAATGTCCTTGAATAATCGACAATTAATTGAGTGTTCAATGATTTACGTCAATTAAAAATTTTGTGACCTCATTAATTACAAAAACTTAATTAAATATTGAGTGAATTAAATGTCCGACTGTGCTGCAGTCTAAATTTAACTTTTATTGTGATGTTCTTGTAATTATATTAGTGGAAGAATTGCATAAAATATGTAATAGAATTTTATTACTATTAAATAAAAATAAAAAATTAGTTTTCAAATCTTCCATTCAAGGGAAAAAATTAGTCAAAATTTACAATAAGAACATTTATTACAATAAAAAAAATCTATCTCAAAAGTAATAATTAGAAAATTGTTATTTTTATTGGATGTTAAATATGGATCAAATTATTCATCAAGGACTAAAAATAATTAACAAAGTACATTTTCTTCTAAAATTAGTTTTATGATTTTAAAAAAACCAGAGCGCCTGGGGCACAACGGGGTCCAGCTACAAAGTAACATACTAATGGGACAAGTAATTATTTCTAGTGTCTAAGTATCTACGCATTTTACTTGCTTTTGTATGTATGTACGTTATACAAGTAATTTATAAAAAATAATATAATTATATTTGTAACAAATTTTCAAGAATTCTATTTTTAATGCATTAAAATTTTTTTTAATATTTTTTTTTTTATTTTTCATTTTGAATTTGAAAGAAATATTTTATGAAGAATTATTGAGCATCAAAAAACGTGCAAAAAAATTGACAATAATAGTAAAAATAAAAAAAAAAACAAAAAGATTTTATTGCCGTTGGAAAATATTTAAAAACAAAACAACTATAATTGTTATCACAATTGCGGAATAACAAATACTCGTAAAAAGCAACAAAACAGATAAATGTGAAAAAATTTTTTCCTTGTTTTCTTCTTGTAATAAATACTCAGAAAAATTACTTTAAGTTCCGCATGTTGCGGATAGATGTCGCTCCTATCGGGTTTCTCGCAAGTTAAGTTGTTTGGCTACATTGGTTAAACCAACGCCTTGTATTTTATATTACTTTTTTTAATAAAAAAAAAAAAAAAAAAAAAAAAAAGTCAAGTTGTGAGTCGAGGTTAATTTTTCATTTTTAGCTTTTTTATCAGTTACACGGTCATACTCATTTTAAATTTAAGGAGATCCAAGTACCCTAGTGTAAAGAATGTCTATAAAAAAATAATACGTAGAAATACTTTTGTTATCTTAAAATTAATTTTAAAATTAATTAATAACATTTTTGAGGAAATTTCCTAAAAATTTACTCATTAAATAATTATTAACATTTAAAAAAAATTCTACAAATCAATTCATAAAAAATTTCAATAAAAAAATGACTTGTAATTTGACCAAGAATAAAAAAAATTTTTTAATAAATTGTTTTTTAATTAATAAAGCATCAATAGAGTAAGAGTAAAGTGATCTTCGCATAAAAATATTTTTGCTTATTAATAATTATCCCAGCGGAGCAGAATCTTCGGAATGAAAGTCGATATCTCAGAGGATTTATTGCGTATGTAATACATACAGATAGTTGCGTTTAAAATTCACGGAAAGCCTACAAACTAATTATTGTAAATAAATATCACTAGTTAATTAATCCCGTATATGTATATAAAACTCATTATAACACACTATATATAAAAAATAACAATTAGACCCTCCGGCTGATGTCAGATAAAAATTATTCCGATAATGAATGTACTCACAATAAATATCAATAACAAAATTTTTTAAGGTTCCAAGACAAAAAACTTGCCTAATCGACGGATAAACCGACAATTAAAAATTGATAAGATCACTGATAAGTTATCGGTAGATCGATCCTCGCGGGTGATTTTTTAGAAATTTGATTGCGCATATGCAACTCAAAAATTTTAGAAATTTCAATCCATTACGGATTTTAATGTATCCTTTGGATCATTATAAAACATTTTGTTCTTTAGTTCAGATAACATCGTATACATATACTCATTTAAGCAGCTGAAATATGCATTTCATTCTATTTGTCATTTTTTGTAACTTAAGCGTGGTAATGGTCAATAACTTAACACATCTTCAGTGGAATTAGTCTTAAGCTTTCAACATTCCATTATAAACTCATTTAGAAAATAAATTTAGTATTTGTTCTAGGGCCTGTAATTTTTTGTAATATTTCGAAGATTTATTTTTAAAATTTCCTCAAAAGTTGTAAGAAGCACATGTTTTTAGAAAAATTATATCAATGAAAAATATTAAATAAGAGCTTTAAATTATTACAAGGCAATATTTTTTTGTTAATTTAAAGATGTTTTTTTTTTGTTAAATTTATTTTATATTTTTCATGAAAAAAATTAAGTAATTTATTACTTTTAAAGTAATTGTTAAAATTTTTAATAATTTTGCAAATATTAAAATTTTTATTAGTACTCTTAAAAAATTTAATTTTTTAAAAACTATCATTTACTTTTCACCAAAATAAATTTTAAACAACACTAATAAATCATTGAAAAAATTTATAATAACACTTTTGACTCTTGCTTAAATCTTCTCACAAAATAATTTTATTTAAGTCTGTATACTTTAATCAACTTTCAGAAACATGCTTTACGGATCTACCAAAACATCAAAATTTCCTTTAAAAAAACACTGCTTATAAACTCTATTTTCAATTAAAAATCCATTACAATTATCGATAAAAAAAATTTTCCAAAAAGTGACCAAAAATACCACCGATTTAATAGACTATTTTCATAGTTTTTAAATAGTAAAAAATTTTGTGTTATATTACCACAAATATTATATAAAAGTAATCCAAAAGTGTGTTAAAAAAATTGCACACACACTGAGAGAAAAACAATCTTGATTCAAGAAACTTTTTTTCTTCAAAACTTGAACTCTTGAAACTAGATGTAGATATATTTCTTTCAAGAATTTTTGTCTCTTGGTTCAAGATAGGCAATAACATTGATTCAAGATGTTACCGACTTGTGTTAAGAATGGCTTTTTTTTGAGTCATTAATTAATTTACTTTATTTCAAGAAATAATTTTTATTTGATATAACAATTAAAGACTATTTAGTTTTTGAAATATACTTTGATGAATTATTTTAAGTTTTTTAAACGATAATGTTATTTTGATTGAAAAACTTAAATGTATCGATTGAAGATAATATAGCTCTTAAGCCAAGAAAATCTAAATCAAGACAAGAAATTCTTAACTTAAAGCAAAATAATCATTTGTCTTCCAAAATAAATTCTTAGATCAAGAAAATATCTCTTGAGTCAACATAAATTTTCTATCGGTGCAGAAAAAAAATGTTCTTCAATCAAGCATATAATTTTAAAGAACTTAATATTTTTGATTTGAGTATAAAAATTCTTGATTTAAGGAAATTTTACTTGAATCAAGAATTTTTCGTCTTGATTCAAGACAATTACCCCCTTCAAAATTATATTGTTAGTTAAAGAATTTATCTCTTGAAACAAGTTAATTGTTTTTCAGTGCATGAAAAATTTGACACAAAATTTGTAAAATAACACAAAAAAAAATTTAACACCCACAAAATTTTTTACTGTGCATATAAAAATTTTTTTTCATAAATAGACACTAGTACCAAATATCACAATTGATAAATAAATAAATTTCACTCCTAATAAAGGTCCAAAAAATCAAAACCACTAAAAAAATAACTCATGCTTAAACGTCCACTTTCCTAGACATAAATAAAAAAAAAATGAGTTGAGTTTCAAAAAGGTATCTTTTGATTTTTGATTAATCAAGACAGTAAAAAATTTTGCGTCAATGCGTCAAAAATTTTTGTGTTAAATATTTAACACTTTTCTGTGTTAATTTAACACAATAAATGTTAAATTTACACATAAAAGTGTTAAAAATTTATCACAAAAATTTTTAACACAAAATTTTTTGACGCAAAATTTTTTACTGTGTCAAATCAACATACTAAATTCTACACAAAGATTTTTACACTTTACACAATGACGAAAAATTTTTTACTGTATAATATTTAAAAGTTCAAAAAACTGCTCTTTTAAAATATCAAAAGACACCCTTTTGAAAATCAGCTCCTAAAATAAAAAAAATAAAAAAAAAAAAAAACAAAAACTTACCTCGAAAGAGGCCCAGAAGGCGAATGAGAACTCGACTGATCATGATCAGCATGATGATGACCGGAGCCACCGTGATTATAAATAGAGACCATGTACAAGTCCTGAACACGTTCGGAATCCTGAAGGGACTGATGGACCCCGGGCGGCTGCATGGAGGTCAAGTGTGTGAAATTCTGAAGCCGACTATGATCATTTGGACTGTAGCCGTCGTCTTGGGAGCTGACATGCGCGGAAGAGGGCCGGTGCTGGGGTGAGAGAGGTTGCTCGTCTCTGGGACTGCGACTGGACCCTGGAGAGCTGCCGGTCCTGACGTTGCTGGGCGAGACTCCGCCGCTGGAGCCGCGGATGTGGGAGAGGTACGCGTCCTCCGGGAGGACATCGTCTAGGTGCTGACCTGCAGCCACGTCGACGGACCCAGGAGCCGACCCGGGGCTGGTTAACCCCTGGAACATTCCTCCCAGGTTGAAGTCACCCCTGACGCCTCTCATCGCCGCGGCTATTCCGCTGAACCGCTCGGCGGTGTCTTGGAGCTGGTGGTGGTGGTGGAGGTGGTGGTGCCCGTCCTCCAGGTGCCGGGTCAGCGCGGACTCGCTCAAACTTTGGTGGTGATGGTGCTCTGCTGACTGAGAGACCGATTCGGCGTACCGATGCATCGTCGAGTGAGGCATCTGACTAACTCGGTTACTTCCCTCTGTTGCCAGCGAGACCTCGGACGGACGTCTATCCCCTCCTTCGGGAATCACCCCTCCGCCGCCACCTACTACGGCTAGCTCATGCCCGTAGTGTGAATTGTGGGCAAATGAATTTCTCGGCTCCTGATGGCTAGAGTACGGAGATCCTGGCTCCAAATAATCCCTAAAAGTAATTATAAAGGTTTTTTAATCTTATTAGAAAATACTATTTATAAGGGTCACTGGATAATATTGTTTGAAAGAGGAAAAAGTACTGTCATTACAGCGATCGAAGGTAGATATAATTTTTTTTTTTTTTTGACACTTGTACAAAAGACTTGAGCTTAGAAATTGTTGGAAAGAAAAGTGTGAAAAGTATATAGCTTAGGAAATTCTGGTAATAAGAACTTTGTTAATTATTTAAGAATATAAATCCAATGACAGATAAGAGAGATTTTTAAGTGAGATTTTTTTGACAAATATTTTTATCATTTATGTTAATTGATCTTTGAATTTTTGGGAATTTTTTTTTTTTTTTCCAAGACAGACAAGAATTACTAAGGAGTGACAAGACATTTTTTTTGGGTCAATTTTACTTCAGTCAGAAGAATTTTTGTTTGAATAGTTTTTTTAGTGACCGTCTCTTTTTTCTCATGCAAAAATTTCTCGCGACAAAAATTGTCAGCAATAATTCCTTGTACAATATTTTTTTACACAAAAACCATGATGAAGAGCCATGTTAATGTTTTTTTTTTTTATAAATAATTGTACTTAATTGTAAATAATTGTGAGAAATTTTGGCGGGATTAATAAAGGCGGGGAGCCAATTTTTTTGAGTCAAGAAAATTTGCTCTTTAATTTTTTACGCAAATGAAATTTTTTTTTGAAAAAATATTATTGTCTTTATAATTATTTTTTTGAGCTAGGAATATTTTTTTATTTATTAAAAAAAGAATTTTTTGTGTATTTTGTGTATAAATCTAAATTATTTTTATTTCGTTGATCCTAAAATTTTCTCTTTTCGTCATTGAACAATTTTACATTGAAAGCAAGTATTGCACCGATCCCTGACCTATTAGTGCTGAAATGAATACCTAAGCCGTAAATATTTACCTGGGAATAATAATATGCGGAGACTGATAATCCAGCGTGTGATGGATTGTGTACGAGTTGTCCTTTGTTGTCAGGACAAAAGACACTGGCTCGTTGGCCTCAACCAAGACGCCATTTTCAATTTCCGGTCGGACCGCCTCCAGTACGCCCACGGTATCCCCGCCATCTGGGTAAGTCAGCTCTTGCTTCAGCTGGTGCTGGTGATCCGGCAAATCGTGATCATGATCATGATCGTCATTTTGATCATGCTCCTGATTGACGTGCTCCAGTAGCTGGCCATTATGCTCCGGTAGGTCACGCAGGTCCTGGTCCTCCGACAGGTCATGGTCATGCTGATCGTGTCTCTCCCGGTCGGTCAAGCAAACTGCGTCAACTATCTTCAACAATGCTGGGTCAGCTATCAGATTTTCCGTATCGTTTAGGCTTTTTGACTCTTCTTCTGTTATTTCTGCGTACTCTGATAGTTTTGCTGTGGAAAATAAAATTTTTATTGATACTATATAATTTTAATTAATATTTTTAAATATTTTTTATTGAAGAAAAAAGATCTTTACTTTAGAAAAAATTTTTTTGGTTTATTTTTTTTTATTTTTACCAAAAAAATTATTTTATTGGTTTAAAAATTTATTTTTTTTTTTGTATAGAAAATTTTTTTATTAAAAATATTTTTATTTAACAAATTATATTTTTTTAAAAATATAATTTATAATACTGAAAATAATTACAATTATTAAAAAATTGTAATTATTGATTTTTCATTGTAGAAAATAATTTCTCAAAATATTAAATAATTAAAAATATTTTTTACTTAATTAAGAAAAAGATCTTTAGTTTGAAAAAATTTTTTTGGTTCATTTTTTTTTTTTTTTTTTTCTAAAAAAACTATTTAAAATAATTATTTTATTGGTTAAAAAATTTAATTTATAATACTGAAAATAATTACAATTATTAAAAAATTGTAATTATTGATTTTTAATTGTAAAAAAATAATTTCTCAAAATATTAAGAAGTTAAAATTAACTTAATATTATGTCTAATTAATAATAAATTTTTTTGAAAACCTTCTATTAGATAAATAAGACTATAATTCACTGAAATAATTTTTTAAACGTCTCAGTTCACATTTAAATGTTTCTTCACTTCGGAGATTTAAGTCCAAAAAAAAAATTAAATATTTGACACGTATTGAGCCCGAAAAAAAATATTATCTCTGACAATTTTTTTTTATTTTTATAAAATACTCTCTTTTCATCGTGAACTATAACAAACACACACACGTTTAAACATACAAACAAATATAGTATATATGTATGAGCTATGCTAGTGAAAGAGATAACAGTCACATTCATACCGTAACGGTTAGCAACAGTCTTTTTTATTTTTAAAAATATGTAAAATTTTACGTAATATGATAAAATTGCCTAGTTTATACTATTTATGCTTTTGCGATAAATATCAAATGAATCAGCGAATCTCTATGGATCGCTCTCTATCTTGATAATCATCATTAGTACAGTATAGTTATCAAAATTCTTTTGCTTCATCAATCATCACTATTGCATCATAATTGTCAATTTATTTTAAGGAGTAATAATTTATTGAAAGATAAAAAAAGTTCATTAATTTTTTGCTTGAAAGTTTTCTAAAAAAATTTTTAAAGTTTGAAATAATAAAGAAAAATTTAATTTCATTATAAAAAAATTTATTAAATTGTAAATATTTTTTAAAAGTAAAATTATTACAGAAAAACTTTAACTAAAAAATTTGATTATTTTTAATCAAGCAAAAAATTTCTTAAATTCAGAAAATTTTTTTAGTTTAACCCTTTAAAAGACAATCTGGCTAAAAAATCTTATGCAAAATTATTCGAGCTTTAATTTAAAAACAAAAAAATAATTCCTTTGCTTTCTATTACTATTTTTTTTACCCTCATTGCTATTAAATGAATACCGTTTAGAAGTTTGCGTAAACAATCAAACTCCAAATTTTAAATCTGCGGAACACAATTATAGATCAAAAAAACATCAATAAAAAAATTTCCAAGTCAATACAATTTTATAAAAACGAATACGAATGTATGAAAAAAAAATGAAAATAAAAATAAAAATGAGTGTAACTCTTGAAGCGAGCAAAGGTCAAACCTTATCGTCGCTGAGTTGTACAAAAACAGTCTCTGTCATCCTCCATGCTCAAGATGAACATCAACGTTCAAAGTATTATTATTATACTTGTGATATGAGTAAAATATATATATATATTTAACATGTATGTACTATAGAATATGATACAGCCAATAATGGTGCAGATTTTGAAAGATTCAATGAATCCTCTATCTTATATATATTATAACTTACAACGTCACTAAAAATGTGAATTAAACTTTTACGAGCGTAAAAGTTCAATGACTATTTAGACGTCACAGAAAAAAAATTAAATTTATTCAAGAGAAAAATTCTTGGATCAAGTAAAATTTATTTAAGGTAGTTGTCGTGGTTAAGGCATACCGTCAGAAAATTCTAAATTTTTGTATACTTATTAAGGACATGATGATACAATTACCCTAAAAATTTAAAGTCGATTGACCACCTATAACCCGAGATGAATTCAATTAAAAATTGGATATTTAACATTGATTGCATACGCTCTCTGCAGTTCTGTAGCAGTTTCTTAGTTATAAAAAAAAACTGTCAGAAACTTTAAAAAACTGACAGCCTCTTAATGTATTTGTTGTGAGTTTAAAAATAAAAAAAAATTTTTGACCGTCTAATTATTTATAAATAACGGATTAAAGTTCAACAATTTATGAAAAAGTATATATCGGAGTCGGATAAAAACAATTGTACACATTTTTTGACTGGAGAACAAAATTCTTGGCTTAAGAAAATTTGTCGGGTGCCTGAAGGAAGACCGAAGTTGTGTTGGCCGAAGTAAAAATTTTTCAATACTTTAAAACCAAAAAAAAATAAAAATAAATATTAATCAAAACTACAACAACTGGACTGAGACATAAAGCAATTTACAGTGCATGACATCACAGCCGCGATTAATTACTAAAAGCTATTAAAAAGTGTGAAGTTAATGAAATGTGTAATATAAATAAGGTGATGCAGAGATTAAGCATATCTTTATAATGCGGGATGAATGGACTTGCCCGATTGTCGCTATCTCTATTTTCTACTCAAGAAGCTATCATAGCAATACACGATACACTTCTGATTATAGTACATACGTAGTATATAGTAACGATAGCAAACTTACGCATGCTGATTTGGTGTTATGTCATATCGGATATATATGGCCTAGGATATCCTAATCTTTTTTACCCAAACGTCCTTGTGATAATTTACAATCTTTAATAATGATAGTAACCGACTCACATTCATACGTATATCCACATCCACACAATATATATCTACAAAACAATAACAATTGCTTCTACATACACTCATGCAACAGCTATTTCGCTATCTCACTAAAATAAAACAACCATCCACTAAATACCAGCTAACAAAATTTTGTTGAAAGTTTGAGTTTGGATACCGTGAGCGTTTCATTTAATTGCATTTAATTGCACACCCGGACGCTCAGCGCTAGGTGGTGTGCAATTTACATACTTAGCTTGTACTATATCACACAAGAATATTTTATGTGATATTATGTATACATGTAAGACATAGACTACACTATTAAGTATGAAGGGAAACATCTGGTGTGTTATCTGCAGTATTAGTAACTGCTATTTGTATTTTAAAAAGTCTAGCACCCGGCATTTGTAGACAATTCATACACACAACCATCACCTTGTTCACCTGAGTGTCAAGAGTTTTATTATTTTATGTGTGTGCTTTTAGTACCTAATTTTTTTAAATTATTACTTACAAGAAGTGTTTTTCTACACAGAAAATATTTATTAAAATTTACTTAAATCATAATCAAGTAAATATATTTTCTTATTGTCTTGAGAAAATTTTGCTCTTGCTTCAAAAAATTAAAAATCAAGGTAGAAATAAATTTTCATTAATATTTTTATTGATTAACATATCAAATAGGAAGATCAAATAATATTTCATTATAGATTAATTTATTTTTAAAAAAATCTGTATCAATTATTAAAGAAATATCATAAAAACTACAGTATAAAAAATATTATAAAAATTATAGTATATGTATTTTAATTGATCTTTTATTAATTTTTTGATAGCATTCATTGATCATAATTAATTTTCAAGCGCTACCGATGCATTAATTAAGAACAAAACTATTATTAAATAAAATATAAATAATTATGACTTAATCGGAGTGCGAAACAATTTATTTTTAAAACTAAAACTGTGGTAATAAATTGTCGGCTTTTGGTTAAACGTATTTAATGCAAAAAACAGAAGGAGAAATAAATGAAGAGAAAAGAGGGACATGGTCCAGAGTTCATTATGGATCATTGCTACTGACTCTCATCGTTTTTACATCTTTATTAAATATATATTAACAATAATAATATATTTATATTTTATTGTGTTAAAACTCGCGATATTGTGATGTTAAATAATTTTTTAACCACATTTTATTTATTAAAAAAATAATTATAATAATATTCATTAGTGTAGAGAAAGTTTATGCTCATGACGACGCTGAAGAAGAAAGAAGTTTAGATAAGCAAGTTCAAAATTTTAAAAAGTTCATTAAACAATTCTCGGTGACCCGTACTCCCCTTATGTTATTTTTCTCGCGTAATTAATATATTTATTATTAAGATGTTATTTATAATTATTTTAAATAAAATTTTTCTTGATAAAATTTTACTAAAATTTATTATTCAGTAAAATGTGCAACATTTTTTTTTTCGATTGAAAAAAAATAATTTGATTACAATCAGAGACAAGTTGTGAAGAGATAAAAAATTTTCGATTAAAATTTTTGAACAAAAAAATTTTATAAAAAAACTAAGAAGTTAATTTTTAAAAATTCTTCACTTCTCCCTTTTTTTTACAAACATATCTTCAAAATATTATGATGAATTTTTCTACATCGATAATTTTTTTAAGTATACTTTATAATCAAATGAATTTTTTTTCTCAACAGAATTTTTTTACGCTATAGTAGAAACATATGTAACAAATAAAAATATTTTGAAATTATACTCTAACTATTCTAAATCCCAAGAGACATATTTATTATTGTTATGGCTAATACGCAGTAAAAGATATTTATTTTTATCGTAAAAACATCAAAACAAGTCCCTTGGGATTTAAAGTATAAGCTCGCACGTGTTAAGGGTTAAAATAAAATTTAAAGAAAATGCATGTGTCTTTCAGGCGCCGTCCTCATCTGCAGATTAGTAAAATTATTTCTACGAAGGTACAAAAATTTATAGTAATTAAAATTTTTTTATTTTTTTTACAGTCCAAGCTTTTTAAGGCGTGCAATTTACAATCTATAAATTTGACCCGTAACAAAATAGATAAATGATGAAATATTTTTAGAAAAATGTCGCTATGCACTCAGCCCTCTTGTGCGGTAAAAAATAGAGGTTAACCCTCTTGACTCTAAACATGCTATAGAAGAACAAGAAAGGTCTGAAGATTACGGAGAAATCAAGAAAGAAGCGACTGAGTGTCTGGTCTGTGTATAAACCATAAACTTTTACTGCCTATTTTTTCCTCTGGTTTGTACAATAATAATGTCTGTTTCTTTTATTTTATGTTTATTACTTTTCATATTCTGGTTATATTAGATACAGAAGAAATTGTCAAATTGCTACTCAAAAAGCCATCAATTTGACCAAGACAGTAGACGACTTTTGAAAAGTCTAAAAAATTTTATTAACCTATTAAAATAAAATTAAACTACCGGATTTGTGATTTTTGTAGGATATTAGATGCTCTAAAAAGATCTTAGTGAAGATTTTCGTCGAGTTATTTTATAGATATTGAAACATTAACTTTCTAAAAATTATACAATTATTCACTCTAATACGGGACAAAATAAATCAAGATTAATTTATTTTACGCAAATATAATAAAAAAACTAATTTAAAACAACAAATTTAACTTCAAGAGATCATTTTATAAAATTAAACTTAGTAAAAAAAAACTTTTGAACCAATGAAATTTTATCTCAAGAATTTTTTTGGTGATTTAAAAAAAAAAATAATTGATTTTTTGAAACACTAATTATAATATATACCTTATAAGTGACCTTACTTAACAATAAGACTTTTCTCACGCCCGATTAATTTAAAGGCTAGGAAAAACGAATTTTTTAAGTTAATTTCAACCTCCGTAGAAGATTTATCATTTTTTTTAATTTAAAACCAGAGACAAATTTATTCTGGCCTTAACTTCGTCTCTAAATGCAACGTGAGTTTGGTCTTGGTCTATTAGTTCTTGTGCTATCTACATATGACATATACGCTTACATATTAGTGTTAAGTGTTAAGGATCGGGGCAATAGTCTAATAAATCTACCGCGGACAAACGTAAGACAGGCTTTACAGTGTAACACGAGAAGCGCAGCGGGTAGTAATTTTTTTTTTCTTATTCTAAAGAGTGTAACAAGTGCATAAGAGCTCAAATTGCCTTATATTATTTATAATTTTTAATACAAGGATTTTTTTGACAGTTCAGACATTTTTTAACGTAAAATTCGGATCAAAATCTGGTTAAAAAAAATTAAAAAATTTGGGTAATTTTTTAGAGCAAAACTTTACCAGAAATTTTAAAATTAATCTTTAAAAAAAATATTTTTTTAATTAATTTTCGAATTAATAATCAATTTTTTAATGAATAAAATTTTTAAATGATAACAACTTAATTTTAATGTAAAAATAAAAAATTTATAAGCGATAACGTTTGCAAATCTCAATATAAATATAAATTTAATATATAAACGTTTCGCAGAATATTTAAAAAAAATAAAGATAATTAAAAAAAAAAAAAAAAAAAAGAAAACTTGTGAAATATTAAAAAAATAATGAGTATAATAATATTTTATCACATCAGTAATTTATTATTTTTTTTTTTTGCATGTATCTTAAACTTAAATACTGATACATGAATATTGCGATGATTAATATCATAAATTTGAAGAGTGAATCTCGGTTGATGTGTTCGTAAACAGCCCGAGTCAGTAAATATTAACTCGAATAAAATAAAGATGAAAATGAGGCCAAAGAAGTACTGAAGTGTCCATAAATCAGTCATCTT